ATGAATGAAGTACTATCTAGATGAGATATTACATCCATTAACGTAAAAATAAAACTAAAAACTGCCTGAATCTGAGTAAGTGCTCTTTTGTAGACATAAAGAGTGGTATGAACTTTGTAATAATTTTTTAATAATTCTTAACAAAAAAATGACAGTTGTAAAATAATCTTATGTGAGGAAACAAACATACATCCAGCAATTAAAATAAGTATCTAAATGGAAGCATCAATTTAAGTACTGTATTTAATATAGTGCAATAGACAATAACAATATATGTAGAACACTTAAATGAAATACTACTGTCTACTGTGCAGAAAAAAATGCAGCACTAAATTGTGAATTTGCAACCAAACACTTACAAGACCAAAAGAGTTATTAGAGTAATATATTAATATACTAGATAAGTCTACAGCATTCAGATGACCAATGACAGCCAAAATATGAGTTTCTGCAAATTTTAGTACCTCGTGATCCTTTGCTCTCCCTTCTCGTTTGAAAAATCCTCCACTGGAGATGGACTACAAATGTCATACAAAAGCAAACTGCAGAATATATTGGAAAATATAAAGTGACACCTACCTGGTGCGACCAGCTGCTGAAAATCTTTCTTGGTATTGAACGAATAGAGGGAAGAAATCGGAAGGCTCGCTTGGATCATCAGCAACGCATACAGTTGTGTATATAATCTGGATAACATATCAAATGTGTCCATAACTCCATGGAAATTGACACTGTTATTTTTTTTCACAAGCTAAACTCCAATGTGAAACCGTTCAAAATCTGAAGTACTAAGATGTAAGGGCATGGAATGAAATATCTCAGTATTTGATAGATATTTCCTTTTTTGGAAGTCCTGATATTAAGCCAAAAATTCTCTATTTTGAATAGAATTATGGATACTTTTATTGTTGTTGCTAACTTTTAACCATCGATAATATCCATTAATAATTCTATAAAATTGAAATAGTTACATTTCTATCAATACCTAGATTTTCAACCATAGGTGTAAAGCTTGTGACTTTCAACAATGTAAAGAACTCAGACAAAATCAAGATATCCAAACCAAATGGGATTAAAACTCACAGTTTCTCCGTCTGTTACTGTAACTGCTCCACTAGCTTGCCTGCCCATACGGCCTGTCTCTACCGTTATCTGCAAAAATTATAATTATTATTATCACCTCATTATTCAGTCAGCTTTCCTGAAATGGAATTGAAACAAAAGAATACTCACAAAGCGATCTCCAACGGGGATTTTGATTGAATAAGGGTGGGTCGGAGCAGCTGCAAAAGCGGCTGCGTCCGAAGTAGCTAAAACAGGCAACTGATAGCAGACTTTGCGGCAATTTCTTCTTCTGGCCGGGGCTCTTCTACCGGAAATGAAGGACGGTGGGAGTTGCAGGGGAAATAACGTGTGGAGAGCTGCGGTGGGAGTGAATTGCAGAGGCCGGCCATGGCAGGTAGGGTTTGCTAGCATTTGGTCCAGTAGTTGAGTGTGCGGTTGTAGTGTGAGAGCCTTGGCACTAATTTTATCCGTACTCCGCCCTTGGGACGGTGGAAACCGGAGAGTAAGGGAATGTATAGAGGTGTCTACGCCGCCGGCTAAGTGAGACGTAGCAGACGAACAAGTACCCCTGTCTTCTTCTTCTTCAGCTCAGCATGGTTATTAGTTACTGAGAGGATTGAGTAATCAGTCTTCCTCTTTTAGAGTTTGATTAACATTAAGGACCATGCTACACTTACACCAACAAATATACCCCATTTGTACGCCACAGGTTTGCACAAACATTTCGATGGTTTTCATCGACACAAGTGTTGGTGCGTTAATAAAAATTCACACGGACACAAATGTTGGTACGTTTAACAAAAATTAGTTTTACACCAACACAAAATGTTGGTGCAAAACTGCGGGGTACAAATTGGGGTACAAATCATGGGGTACACATAGCATAATCCTAACATTAACTCTACTTTTTTTGTGCGGTTCAATGGTTCTTAATAAAATTCGTCTTGTATTTTTTCTTTTTCACAAAATTGATGTTGGATATCTTTAGTTTTATACTAAGATCATGTGTAATAGGTTGAATAAATTTAGTAGTACACCGAAATGGGATATCTTTTATGTACACCAAACAAATATAACCAAACATATATACTTAGTGTTTGTGGATCACAGACATTAAGTATTTATGTTTGTCTAAGGTACAAATAGATATCTGATAGTGTACCCCTACTTGTAGTGAAATTTATGCTCCTACAATGGATCCCCTTACATCCCCCATGAGCAAAAAAATGCATATAGCTTGATGTAAATAAGGACAATTCCTTCTCCCTCCCCCAATCACATTTTTTAAAAATAAATGTGGAGGAGAAGAACAATAAAATTGCTAATATTTTTGTAGTATATCTTTTGAATTAAGGGGAGATAAAAAATATATATTTGTAAAAATTTAGTAAACCTAGATTTTTAATATATATATATATGGGATTGACTCCATTTAGATGATGCATTATGGTGAGATGACATGCTTCAGTGAGATGACGCAGAGCTCACCACACTACACTACAAAGCTCACCAATGGACAATGCAAAGCTCTCTTAGAAATAAAGTAAATCTCACCACTTTGAACACCAAAACTCACCTTTTTTAAAATTTAAATATTTAAAATTAATAAAAAATAAATTAGCAACACCGGTCAGCAGCGGCGGTTGCCGGCGACAGGCGGCGGATTCTTGTGACCGGCGGCGGACTCCAGTGACCGAAGATAGGGAGGCGGCGAATTCCAGCGACCGGCGGAAGATTGCAGCTACCGGCGGCGGGGCGGCGAGGATTCCAGCGACTGGCGGAAGATTGCAGCTACCGGCGGCGGGGCGGCGAGGATTCCAGCTACCGGCGGCCGATTCCGGCGACCGGTAGCATCAGCAGATTCCGGCGAGCAGCGGTGGCTGGTGGCTGCAGGTGGCGGTCAAAGGTCTTGGTCAACGGTTAAAGTCCAGTCAGCACCCCTTTATTTGATTTTATTTTTTAAAAAAAATTCAAAGTGTTGAAAAAATATGGTGAGCTTTGCCTTACAATTTGGTGAGCTTTGTAGTTGCCCTTGGTGAGCTTTGTAGTTGGCAGTGGTGAGCTTTGCGTCATCTGACTATAGGATGTCATCTCACTGTAAGGTATCATCACACCGGTCAGCAGCGGCAGTTGCCGGCGGCCGGCAGCGGATTCTGGTGACCGGCGGCGGGGTGGCAGCGGCCTCCGATGACCGACGGCAGGGAGGCGGCGGATTCCAGCGACCGGCGGAGGATTCCAGCTATCGGCGGCGGGGCGGCGGAGGATTCCAGCTACCGGCGGCGGATTCCCGCAACTGGTGGCGGATTCCGGTGACTGGCGGCGGTAGCAGATTCCGGCGACTAACGGTGGCCTGCGGCAGCAGGTGGCGGTCAAAGGTCTTGGTCAACGGTTAAAGTCCAGTCTGCACCCCTTTCTTTGATTTTATTTTTTCAAAAAAAAATTAAAAGTGTTGAAAAAATATGATGAGCTTTGCCTTACAATTTGGTGAGCTTTGTAGTTGTTCTTGGTGAGCTTTGCAGTTAGCAGTGGTAAGCTTTGTGTCATTTGACCGTAGGATGTCATCTCACCGTAAGGTGTCATCTCACTGGAGTCAATCCCTGGGATTGACTCCAGTGAGATGACACCTTGTGGTAAGATGACATGTTTCAGTGAGATGACGCTGGAGCTCACCACTGATCACTGCAAAGCTCACTACTAATCATTGCAAAACTCACCACTGTCCACTGCAAAGCTCACCATGATTTTCCAACACTTAACTTTTTTTTTCAAAATTTGATGGTTAAATGCTCACAAAGCCCAGCAACAAAGCTCACTGACTCTCATTGTAAAGCTCACCGAATATGTGCATAAAGCTCACCACACTTTAAAGTTTAAAATGATTTCAAAAAAAAACAAAAAGTGGTGGTACTGACTTCCAACCGCTGCCGACTACCGCCGTGGACCGGTGGTTGACTGGTGGTGCAATTTTATAAGCTTTCTTTTTTAAAGAAAAGTGGTGAGCTTTGCATTATTCCTAGGTGAGCTTTGCATTGACAGTTGGTGAGTTTTACACTTTAATCGCCCATGATCAATGGCCACCACCGATGACCCCAACTGTTGCCGTGGATTGGTGGTTGAGCGGTGGTTGAATGGTGGTGCTATTTTTTTTAACTATTTTTATTTTAAAAAAAGTGGTGAGTTTTGCATTGTTCTTTGGTGAGCTTTTCATTGGCAGTGGGTGAGCTTTCCATTGGCAGTGTTGTGTGTGTTGTGTCATCTGATTGAAGCATGTCATCTTACCATAAGGTATCATCTCACTGGAGTCAATCCCTATATATATATATATATATATATATACACACACACACACACACACACACATATATATACACACACACACACACACACACATATATATATATACACACACACACACACATATATATATGAAATTTAAATGGTATATAATATAAAAAAATCAAGTTGTTGTAATATTTGATATTGTACAATCAAAAATAATTTCGTTCCACTTGTGAATGACATACATTAAAATATTAGTTTTATAACATTTTTAATTTTCGGTGGGATTCTAGTGACACTGGAAAATGGTACCACTAGCGGTGCCACTGGCTTTTTGGGGCACCTCAGTGCTCCGTTCGTAAAATTGACGGTTTTTACCTTTCTAAACCTCCCACCCTACCCCCACTCCTGCACCCCCACCCCAATCCCGCCGTAAACCACTCCCCTGCATAATAGCCACACATTTTGTTGGGGGCTTACGGCGGGGTTGGGGTGTGGTGCCGGGGGTAAGGTGGAAGGTTTAGGAGTAGGTTAGGAGAGGGTAGGAATCGTCAATTTTACGAACGGAGCATCGGAGATGCCCAAAAAATGTGGCACCGTTCTTCTATGTCATTAGAACCGGACCGTTTAACTTTTTATGATCCATAACAATAAGACTACACAGCCTTACCCTCGCACAAACCAAACATATTTGTCGTTGTCCTTTCCCCAGATACAACATCAGGAACTTGGCGCCCTAAAAATCTGCTGTCGGCTTTAGTGAGGAGGTGAACACCAGAACAACGCTATGAAACCGCACTCAGCTTGGAGTTTCTCAAAGACTCCTGTCAAGTTCAAGATGTAATTTCTCCTGTCACAGTCCCGTCGAATTCCAACTTTTTTTTAATATAGAAAATCACTTTTTTTTAAAATTCACCGTCTTCTTCTTTCACTTGGTGACTGTAATGATTGTTTAAGTGTGTGCGTTTTATTTTGAATAACAGCCCGACGGCTGACAATCTTGTTCCAATCCGTCTGGACATTGAAATCGACGGCCAGCGACTCAGAGACGCTTTTATTTGGAATCCGTCCGGTAAACCTTTTTCATCTCTTTCAAAATTTCGTGAAATCATTGCGTCCCTCATAAGCATTGATGGGATCCATGTTAGAAAGTGCCACCTCCGCAACGGACAGTAACACCGCGACGAACAGCGACACCTATTACCAGTGACAATGCTATCTATCAACACGGAAGAAAATTGCTAACAATTCTCACATTAAATTCATAAGGGAATACTCGTTAATCAAGAAGGTTTGTTGAATATGGAGTATATATTTCTGAAATTCCTTTTGTGCGGCAATGCCATGATTGGAAACTATAACTAAATGACGGGAAGGGTTTTGGTAGGGGTACCACACCTTATATATGGATAGAGGATGAGTCAAAATTTTGGACCAAAATGAGAATGGAGTATCCAAAGTGATTTTGCATACCTAAAAGGCAGGCGTCTCTTTTGTTTTAGACTGGAAAATACAATTTAAATTGGATAATGATTGTTCACATACCATTTAAATCAAACAAACATCGTTCCGATCTAAATCGGAAGAAGTAATGCTTTAATGGAGGAAGTCAGATTTGCTGCGGCAGGATTATCGCTTGTATGTGAGCGCACTTTAGGTACTCCATTCTCATTTCGGGTCAAAATTTTGCCTCAGCCCCTATCCTTCTATATGGTGTAGTACCCTCACCTTAAACCTTACTTCATTCAATTATGGTTTCCTATCATGGTATTGTCGCGCAAAAGAAATTTCAGAAGCATAAATTAAACAAACTACAAATGAAGAGTAAGAAATCATCGCTTTTGACTATATGAGTATTTCCTTTTGAATTGTTGGTCATTTTCTTCTATTTGTTGTTCTACATAGATTTGCTTTAATTCCCATCCCGATAGGCATATAGCATTGGTGCTAATAATCGAGGCAACAACATTTGTCCTCACGGGGTCATTGTTCATCATGGCTTCACTGTCCGTCATGGTGGTGCTTTTTATTGTTGTGGCAATGACGAAAATGATTTTAGATATATCCATGGTACCTCAGTTTTTGAAATCATGGATCACGTCATCACTTACAAGGGAGGTAATATGGTTGTGGTTATATTTACCTCCATTTAGTTCTAACTCTTAACTAATATTCATCTCAAAAATAATTAACTATGTGAGTGTGGGGATTGAAAGTACAAACACATGTTTCCTTCTACGTGCTATGAAAGTCTTTTTTCAAACTATGTTCAGCTTATGTAATGCCTCTCTACTTTAAGTAGGGGTAAGGTCTGCGTACACATACCCTCCCCAAACTTGCTCTTGCGGGATTTTACTCGATTCTTGTTGTTGTATGTTCAGATGATATAACATAACACACTAACGAAAGCATGTTCCGGAGTTGATGGTTCATGTGATATTTCACTAGGGTTATGGTATTTGAGTAAATCTTGAAGTACTATAAGCAGAAATTTCGTTTCCTAATTGGCTAATAGTAGTATCATATCATCAATGTAATTCAATTACCCTTCATCCAAAAAGAGTTGTGTTTGCAACATTGTGACACTTTGGGGTGACTTACCTCCTCTGTCTCAAGATCAAATCCACACTTTTCTTTTCCTTCCGTCCAAAAGTAAACTTCACACTTCTCCACTTTCATTTTAAGAAAGAAATATGTTGCTCACAACATTTCTCCCTAAACAAATTCCAACTATTCAGTTTTTACTTTTCAACACTTCTTTTGAACTCTGTGAAGAAAAAATGTGAATTTGATTTTGGGACAGAAGGAGTATATCAAAAGTGCTTTATTAGAAAGTGAGATCTCATTTAAGCACTAATTTTTTAGGCTTTGCGATGTTACTTTCATGCAATTTGTGAACTACTTATCTCTTCCATTCGTTACAACAGATCCTGACACAGAGGTAGGGTTATTTGCAAAAAGAACTGTAAAAGACCTGAAGCTTCCCCCAGCGTTCGTCACACAGATTGCACAGTCCATTCAAGTATATAACAACTTAAACTATGTTCATGTTCATGAATTGGTTGAGTATGTTTTCTTCATATCCAGTCATCCACTGAAACTCATCATCGGATATGCCTTATTGGTTATATGTATTAAAATGATAACAGAAGCCAAACTTGGTAGATGTGGGGAGGCATTGAGACAAGCTAAAACTAATTAAATCAGCTTCAAGGATATGTATATTACTGGGGTTAGGGTAAATATGCAACAACAACAACAACGACAAAGCCTTATCGCACTAGGCTGGGTTGGCTACATGGTTAGGGTAAATATGCAATCTAGTAAAATGAATTTAAAACATTAATAAAATGCATATCTAGAAGGATTATTAAATTAAACGTAGAAGTGAAAAATTCCAAGTGTTAAACCAAAATGCATATATGATTAGTAGTAGTAAAACCTAGCTGCCTGTTTTTCATGCTTTTTTAACTCTAGAATTTCTATAGAGTTTAGACATCTGATACCCCAAAATTTATTTATTTTTCAATTGTTACTTCTCTTTATTTTTTTCTTTGATGACTATGTTGTAAACCTGTAATCTGCTACCAATGTTTTTTAAGTCACAATTGGGGGAGTTTCGATCATACGAAGGACAAGATATGTACACTGGAGAAAAAGTTGTTCCTATAAAGGTTGGGAACAATTTTATGTTGTTTTAACTTTATATATTTTATTTTAGTCTGCCTCCAAAATTTTTAGTGGCTGATAGTAAATATTGTTGGTTTGCTCAGCTTGATCTTCGAGTTAATCACACTCTGGTAAAGGACCATTTTCTGTGGGTAAGATTACTTCCAACCTGGAGGTGAAAATCTTCACTTCTAATATCTATCGCTACTTGGTATTCTGGATAATATATCTTTAACCTTATAATCCACTTCTATTTTTATTCAGCTATTACTCACTGATACAAGATGGGGGGAAATTATTTCAGGATTTGAATAATTTTGAGAGTGACCCTGAAGAATTCGCAAGGACTCTTTGTAAAGATTTGGGAATTGAAGACCCAGAAGTTGGAGTAAGGACAATCTACTTATATTCACTATCCTATGGATACCAAACCTTTTTTAGTACATGAACATTCTCCTAGAAAATGTCCATAGCCCATGGGGCTAAAAGAGCCGTAGTTGACAATGTTTTAGCTTTAGTCAAATAATGGATTAAATCAAAATAGCACATTAAACTTCTTTTACTTCTCACTTTCAATAAAGTTTTGGGTAGTAAATGCAGCAATGCATCAAGGGTCTAATGTAAACAGTCTATGTATAAGCCTGTGTACATCTTGATCCCCAAGAGCCCTACAAAGTTGGGAATCGGGATTACGGGATTGTTACTGTTGTTGAATGTTTTACTAGAGAAACAATTGACTTCTTGCTATATCCTTTGGTTTTAATGTCAGGTTTAAGGTTTCACATGAACTAGAAATTGAAAATGAAAAAGTAATATTGGATTTCATTTGATGTCTTTTAATCTATTTTTGGAGTTACATAATTTTGATGTGCTCAAAATTGCTGGTAAAATTTGCTTTATGAAACCTTGCTTTGTCTTTGCAGCCTGCTATTGCCATTTCAATCAGAGAACAACTCTATGAAGTAAGTGTTTCCACACAATAGTACTCTCTACCCGTGTGTCTGTGCACTGCATTCATGGAGCACTAGTGATGCCCACAATGTGAGGGGTTTGATTTCCTTGATATCTTTGATTTAACATTGTTCTGTCATTTCTTATATTGGGCAGATTATCTAGGTTTCCTTATTTCCTTATTACAGTGAAACACAACAATGAGTTGTTCTTCCATAAAATGACAATGGACCTTAGGACCACGTAAGAGTTTGCCTACAACAATAAGCTTTTCTAAAGGAAAGCATATTGTAATAGTGACACACCTACTTGCACTTGAATAAAAAAGTACTATTATAGGAAGTTTTATTCCTCCAGCTTTGGTTATTGATCTACCTTTCCCATTTTACCTCATCAGAAGGAGCTCCATAGGACCATATCCTTCTCTACTTCTTCTTCCAACTCGTAAAGGACTATTACACATATTCAGATCCGTGGCCATATTAACTTGGTTTCGTCGGGAGCACAGCCAGGTTGTACCGTGATAAGTAAACTTATACAATCTTCTGAATACAAGAAATTACGAACTAATGCCAATTGCAACAAAACTGGAAACTAAATACGTAGTAAAACATTAAAGAAACTAAATCTATGTTGTCATGACTAGTGCTCCATGAATGTATCAAAGTATCACCATCACTTTCAACAGATACTCATTTCACTAGGTTTTGCTGGTCTTACATAGGAAACACTATTTTTGTTCAATGTACCGAAAAATTGGGGAAGATAAAAAAGAAAAAAGTGATTCTGAACTACAATGCATCTATAGACTGTCTTCTTTCAATGCTACTTGTCTGAGACTCTACGGGAAGAGGTCTCAGGTAATCTCCTTTCTGTCACAATTACTCACATGTACCATGATAATATTTTGTAAGGTGTGTATGGATCCTTAAAATTAATAAGGAAATGAAAAATTCAAGTAATATATTTTCGTGTGTTTGGTGTTAGTGTTTTTCCTTGGAAAATGTAAAGGTAAATCCAAGACAACTATGTATTTTTTCCCACATCATCCAGCCCATTCTCATACAATGGGCGCCATCACTGTAAATTTTTCCATTTCCTTGGATGATTCATCGAAGATACTAACGATCTCCACCTTCTTGGGGATGTGTAGAGACTATCTTCACGTCCTCTTCTAACTCATGTGGTATGCCTTTGAGTTCTCACTCCAAATACTTAGTCTATGTCATACCCCCTCTCGAACATCTAGTCTTTCACTAGCTCCTTCACGCATTTCGTCGATTAAAACAATATTGTCCGCAAATAGCATGCACCAAAGTATTTCCTCCTGGCAATGTCTATTGTCTAGTGAATTCATTCATCACCTGCACAAATAAAAAGGGACTAAGAGCAGACACTTGTAAGTAAACAAATGATCTACTGTTGTTTCTTATAATCCGTATTAATGAAGGAGCTTTGAAAAGAGCAACAGTCTTCCTATAACAACTGGACTAACACACTGCTGCTTTTATAAAAAAATCTGATAGAGATGTAGAGTTTGAGTTTATATATATTTCCAATTTTCCTTTTTTTTGCTTTCCTCCCTATTTTCTTTCCCTAGTATTTCTTGGGTTCCATACATGTCCTAAAAGAAATATATGAACATTTTTGGAATGCTAGAAAAATGAAATATATAAACTCATCTCATGACCCATTAGTGGAGTGGTTTTGCACATACAAAAATTTTCTGCAATACATAATAACTTTGTATAGCATGTCATGCTATAGGTTTCTGTTCAAAGTGTTGCATCAGCAAGGGAAAGCAAAATGCATAAGAAGGGACGCAGAGGATTTGAACATTTTTCTGCCAGGTAAGTTTCTGTTTAGTTTTCTTTTGTATGGTTGATGCTAGTTTGGGTGTTTTGGGAAATTAAGGTGTTAAGCTAGCTGATGGCTGATCTCGACATAACAGGGAGTACTATGTAATACCAAGGAGTAGTGGTCGACAGAAGTAATTGAAAAACTAGTTTAGCCATACAAAGTAACACAGAAGGATACAGAGTATTATGATTAACATATTCTTAGAAAGATAAAAGTGTTAAAAAGGAATTATTATACTTTGTAAAAGAAAAGGGAACTTAATTGAGAAGCTAACAAATGAAAGGCTAAAAACTAGCAACTTGCTTACAAAATAAGCAATTCCAATTCCAATTCTAACAACAACAACAACAACAATGATAATACTCCCTCCGTCCCGGAGTTTTTTTCCATTTTTGACTTTTTTTGGTCAAGACTAGCAAACTTTGACCCCGAATTGAATAAAAATGGATATTAGATATTGATACAAAAAGAGTTTCATTAGATTTATCATGTAAAATATTTTCAAAATATTATTTTATCTAATTAATATATGATATATATTTTATTTAATTATAGGTCAAAAGTTGAAAATGGTTGACTAAAAAAAGTCAAAACTGGACAAATACTTTGGGACGGAGGTAGTAGTAATAATGGTTTTAATAATAATAATAATTATAATAATAATAATAATAATAATAATAATTCATATACAATGGGGTTCTTTTGACAGCAAACCATACAACAAGGGTTAGAGCATCTCCAACGTGTAGTGTAAAAATTGGTAGTGTAAATTTCATATTACACTATCAACAGTGTTTTACATATCTACTTTTTTATACTTACTCTAACCATATCTTCTATATAATACGCTTTTATAATATTTTATTATTCTAAGTTAATTATTTTATATATATTTTTTAAAAGAAGATGACGGCACGAGCTTTATATATAAGAAAACAAAGAAGAGGGAAGGAAAGAAGCAAAAAAGTAAAAAAAATAATTTCTTATTCTTTCCACTACCTATAGTAAACTTGTAGAATACACTTTGGAAAATGTTTTTTACACTACATTGCATTTTACCACTTGGTTTACCCATCCATTGGAGTGCCAAAAAAGTAACATTAAATTGCATATAGTGTATATTTTACCATTGACACTACACCTTGGAGATGCTCTTACGGTGCTCCGATAAAAAAGTTGATGGTTCCTACTTCCTACCCCCTTCCCGCCACTCCCCTTCCCCTTGCCCAAAACGCCAATTGGCAAGAGTAACACTGTTGCCCATCGGCATTTTGGGGATTGGGGGGGGCTGGTGTTTAGGGAGGTAGGAACCATCAATTTTTTGATCGGAGCACTATAGCCCTTGTTGTGAAAAGAAGGGAGCCGATTCCTTGATAATCATAATGAATTATGTTGCAGACTTGCAGAATCCTCAACCTTGCCCCAACCTATACCCTCTCAGAATCGTGTTTGTATGAAAGGAAGAGGCAAGGCTGAGGAAAAGGTTGGAGTTTGTTTTGCATTTTTCTAATCGTAATGCATCTCTCGTTCATCGTTTGCTACTTCTTCAGCAAGACAGGTGTAACTGGAGTGGACTTGGTGAAGTTGTTTGGCAATAAGAACAGCGTAGTTCGGTAAGATTGCTTGCCAACTTTCTGTTGTTGAACCGGGGAAAAAGAAAGAGCAACCAAAGCTAAGAATCTGAACCTATCTATAGTATCCGATTTTAGAGTAGAATAACACTTTCAAATAGCCAAACAGGATCAAGTTTATGAAGTGCACTCACCCATTTCCAAGTATTGAGCTTTATTAACTTCCAAGCTAATAAAGGCTGATGGTTTAGTTGTGCTGACTTTGCTCATGAAATGGTTGGTTCTTTTGCAGCAAAAGGAGGGATTGGGATGTGTATGAACCTATCGTTGATCTCCTGTCGATTGAGGAAGTGGATGCCCTTGAGACCAAAGAAGAACGAATTGCTCGCTAATCTGATAAGGAAAAGAAAAAGATCAACAGAGTTCACGTGAGTTTTTCTACAAAGCAAATATGCTTCAAATTCTACAATTGTGCATTTCTAGGATTTGGCTTCAAAAAAATCTTATTCGAAATTAAATTTGGACTGTAGAAACTAGAAAGGGAAGGGGTTAATCAAGTTGTGTGGAATTACACTGTAGGAGTGGGTTCCCTTTGAGTGGATTCATTTTACCCCAAAAAAATGGACACGAGTCCACTCCAGTTTGGTTTTCTCTGGTTCATTTTGAATGTTCTTTATTCAGATGTTTAAAGAGCCCACAACTTTCTCTTTGTCAAAATCTGTGAGTAAATATTAGTACTATTTGTTTCAAATTGTTACTGTCAATATTACAGTAGCTATGAAAAAGGATTATACCGCTATAAATTTTTGTATGGAGGGAGGACAGAAGAGCAAGAGAGAGTTAAAATGGGGGAGGGGTAATATAATATTATAATGTCTATGATGAATGACTAACAATAAAATGATGTGTGATGATGGTCTCAAACTTTATCAAGTGCCAACCAAACTAGTGTCAAAAAAGGCAAAAAGACTCATGACTCATCCCTTTTTAAAAAATCACCCATGTCTCAAGTCTCAAGCTTTCAAATATCAAATACTCCGTATCAAGCTTTGCAAAAAAAGGCAAGCAAACAAGTGATCAAAAGTTCAAGATCAAAGACCGAAATAACCCATTACTCATTCTTTTTTAAAAAATCACCCTAAATAGGAGTAAACCTTAAAAAAGTACCAAAATATGAGTTTTATGTTTTTATATTCAAAATAGTAGTTTGAATTATGATAACGTGACACTGTATTTTGGCATTGTATATGTAATTTAACTCATGTTTTGGTATATTGTTTAATGTTTTAGTTTTACTTTAGTCTTTTTTTTTTCATTTTCTCGTTTAGAGCCCGACTAGTCGCGGTCGGTTCTTTTTCTTTATCTTGGCTCCCATGGTCCTTCTCCGTCGGTTATGCCTTCAACAATTTGTTCTCGTGCTCAACTGTGGCAATGGACATGAACACCATACTTACAAATGTAGGCCTAGAAATTGGTTGCTTGCTCTATTACATTCCAAAGTACTCAAACCCGCTTCCGCCGAATCAATTTCATTATTTGTGCTCCAAGATGCTCCTTGTTACCGATGATTATCTTGGGGAATATTAGGAATAATAGATATATTAAGAAATAGAAAATTATTATTTATTAGCTTTCTTATTGTATTGTTTCCTTTTTATATTGTTGCTATAATTCTTCTCATACTTAAATTAGAATTCTCTCTTCTAATCTTTGGCCTTGTTTGGAACATGGCAGTTGGCTGTTGACTGTTGGCTGTTTATGTTACCTGGTTTGAATGGCTGATTGAGTTAGTTGTTTTGACCGGCTGTTTCTGTTAGCTGTTAAAAATTAGATGTTTGGCAACTTTAGCTGTTTATAGTTAGCTGTTTGTGAGTAAAATTACATATAAGGACATCCCTCCATTTATGTTAATTTGTGTATGATTTTAATTTTTTTTAATTTGATAAAATACACACATTATACAAGAAAATGCTTTACATGTATTTTTTTTGTTCGACAAAAAAGGCTTCTTCGCTTTTTTTAAATTTAAGACATGAGAATTTACATTTATACTTTTTTTTGAAGCAATACATTTATACTTTTAGACTTTTTTTGTATTTTTCTCATTTATCATTCTACAAATAACAACCATGCATGATATATTTTATTTTATAATATTTTAAATATGATATCATAAATATATAAAAGTACTCTACACCAATTTTAAATATGATATCATATATTTTTAATATACTCTACACCAATTTTAATTTTTTAAATATGATATCATATTTTTTTGTTGGACAAAAAAGACTACTTCGTTATTTTTAAGTTAAGAAATGATAATTTACATTTAAATTTTATAAGTAGATTTTTTTGTATTTTTCTCATTTATCATTCTACAAATAACAACCATGCATGATATATTTTATTTTATAATTTTTAAATATGATATCATAAATATATAAAAATACACTACACGAATTTCGATGCCGTGAGGATCGCAGAGAGACGCAACACCGAGAAAAGGGTAAGAAACGGAAAAGGGGTGAACTGCTAAATGAAATGCTGCTAGGGTTGGCATTTCAATTTTTGGCTGTTCGGTTATAAATGCCAATTTCAAAAGCCATTATCCAAACAATTAATTTGGCGGTTGACTAGTCTAATTCGCCATTTATGGTCAAAGATGCCAAATGCTAGGTGAACTGCCATTTACCAAACATGGCCAATATAGGGATGCATCATTCATTATTCAATAAGACCAATTATTATCAAATCATATCAAAAACGAGTATTAAAAATATGGGTAATTTGAAGTATACATATAGACATGTATGTATTTTATTACTCCGTATTATTTTTAATTGATGCTTTTAATCGCGCCTCCACTCATGTTTTTTCATACTCTATTCTCATTTAAACTTCATAGTTTGACTTTGTACAGAGTTTTAAAAAAATGAAATTGTTTGGTTGAAATTGATAATGAGAGACAGAGAAAAAAGATGAGCCACAAAAAATTTCTCAAAATTAAAAAGAAAAATATTACTCCGTAATTTGGAACAACTCAAAAAAAAATATGAAAAATTAATTTGAAACGAATTTGAAAGCTCTGACAGCACTCGCATGGCAGTGACACTTGAATGGGCTTTAGAGCACTGGAAATGCCCGGCCCGGGCTTGACGTTAACCGTTATGACGGGATTGACGGGTAAATGAGAATGAATGTATCTATCCCGTAATTCTGCATCCATTCCTAAGTTCTTCATTCCCGCTGGCTTTTCTTTGGTAGAAGACAGAGAGGACTTTGGTGGAGAGGATTCCTATGCCGATTTAGGGCAGAAGTCAAGTAGGTTCTCCACGCCAATCATCATCTCCCTCACTCTCTCCCTACTCTACCCTAAACCAGACCCTGGTCTGAGCGAGAAAGAGAGCTACAGGAACCAGCCATTTCATTCATTCCACCATTACGCCCGAGTATTATGGGTGTGATTAAGGCGGCGATCGGCGATGCGCTGTTGACCTTCATGTGGGTGTTCTCCGCCTCCACGCTCGGCATCGGCACCTCCGCTGTCGCCTCCGCGCTCGGAGTCCTCCATCCGATGGCGTCTCTCTTCATCACCACCGCTTTGCTATTCGTCCTCCTGTTCGTTTTCGGCATCCTCAGCGATGCCCTCGGCGGCGCCAGCTTTAACCCCACGGGTATTGCTGCGTTCTACGCTGCCGGCTTCGGGAGCGACTCTCTAGTCTCTGCTGCAGTCCGTTTCCCCGCTCAGGTCGGTCTTCTGATTGTCTCAGATTTTGTAATTCTGTGAATGGTTTACCTTGTCGATTACCCATATAATATTTTGCTAGAATTCAATTAGGGTTCACCACTTAAAAGCTAAATTTATATAACAAATGACCTGATCAGTGATGAACTAAATCTTTATCGTCTTTTTCAAATGACCTATTGCCCCTGAATTGCACAATTTCCAGGCTGCGGGTGCCGTTGGTGGTGCAATTGCGATAATGGAAGTAATCCCTTCACACTACAGGCACATGGTTGGAGGGCCTTCTTTGAAGGTTGATGTCCACACAGGAGCAATTGCAGAGGGAGTGCTGACTTTCATTATGTCCTTTATTGTTTTTGTTGTCCTCTTGAGGGGTCCTAAGAATTCATTTGTCAAGAATTGGTTGCTTGCCATATCAACAGTCACCCTAGTCATTATTGGTTCTAGCTATACAGGTCCTTCCATGAATCCTGCTAATGTAAGTAGAATTTCTTTCTTTTTCTCTCTCTATTCATATCTTTGGAGCATGACATTTTTACTTCGTTTTATCTCTCTATAGACCCCTTTACTTCGGTTAGTTGCATAACTTAAAAGATGTGACAAACAAAATTTGAGTCTCTGTTTTAAGTTTTAAGTTCAGTACGTTTGTTATACAACCAAGATCTGAACATGAGTTTTCTTTAAAAGCAAAAGGAGCATTTCCAACAACTAAATCAGCATTCTTTATAATTAAGTGGCCATAATAATATGAACAAAAACATGATAAAACTAAATCAAATGAGCATTATTCAGAACCATAATGAGTATGTTGTCCAAAAGATTACAAAATACCATGGAATTACATATATATATATGGATGTATAATATAACTTGCCATTATGAGTTCCATTTTCAGTGTTCAGGTTTCATGAATTTTTGTTATATGCTTTTGCACTTCAATGCTATGTGCTCTCTATTTCCTTTCATTTATCTCTCGATTATTGGTTACTTTAACATGAGACCTGGACTTTCGAGCCTTGTTACATTGTATTTTAGTTCTTACACCACAGATACTAGGCTAATCCCAGTATGGGAGAATTCAAAACAGTCAACAAGAAGAAAATTTTATGTATAATTAAGTTAGGTTTGATTGTCCGGATCCAAAATTTCTTCATATGATTCTTCACTTTTGTCAAACTACATTTTGAAGTCCACTCTCCGGTTCCCAATATGGAGGAACTGGATGCAGGCAATCTGTGATTTACTAAGTTTGGTGATTTCCCATTTGGTGGAAATTTAATTTAGAAACTTTGCTTTAGGTTTACAGGAATTTTGTATCATCCCAGTTCTAGTAATACAACGTTTCTTTATAACCATATTGATTTTACCCGGAGACAGTTGATTATATATTTCGATTTTCCACTTACTGACTTATCTTGATATGCTCCTTCATAAATTTATGTTGGCAGGCATTTGGCTGGGCTTACACAAACAATCTGCACAATACATGGGAGCAGTTTTACGTCTACTGGATTTTCCCCTTCATTGGAGCAATCCTGGCAGCTTGGATTTTCCGTGCTGTGTTTCCACCCCAGGTGAAGCCCAAGAAGCAGCCTAAGGCAAAGAAAAACTGAAAAGGTGGTTGAGTGTTAGACTGCACCTCAAGAACTCTATATATATATATGTATGATGGCTAAGTGCACCTCTTGTAAGTGGGTTGTGTTTTAGAATCTTGTTTTAATTTGATTGAATTAGAATCTTCATCCAATAAAGATTTTGCCGTTTGATTGAATCAATCTACTACGTTTTTGCCTATCCCCGATATCCCAATTGTTTATGGTATGTTTATTATGATGTGTTTGGATTGAGGGAATGAAGGATAGCAATGAATTCCTTCACCAGGCTAGAAAGTAGACTACCCACCAAACCAGCACAACATTTCACTTCAAACCTTTGTTATAACTATTTATAGTTCAGCCAATCCAACATGGAACAGCTGCCAAGGGAGGTATATATAGACCTGGCAAAAAATGACCTGGCCTGTTTTTTACCCAAAACCTGACATGAAAACACTGGGTTTTGAACAAAGGTTTTGATGACCGAACCCGAAATGACCTGCTAAAAATGGGTCAAACCCGACCGAACCTAAACCCGACCTGACGGGCCCGCTAAAGTAAGAATTTTTCACAATTGTACACTTTACTACTCGTTTTTAGCGTATAAATTTATATTTTTGATAAAATTTTAATGATATTGCATAATTATCTAACTTTTTTCCAAAACTTAAACATTTTTCAAGTTCCTTATATTGATTTATATATCTAACAATTACTTCAGAATTTAAAATAAAATAATCTAATAGATTTAATTTTTTTTATATATTTTAAATTTATTAAATAGAAAATGTAAATGTTAATGTGAATTTAAAAATTTTAAAAACCAAAGTCATAACCTGTTGGATCGACCCGAACCCGATGACACTGGGTCATGAACATACAATTCTCAACCCGAACTCATATTGATCCGAACCCGAAATAACCCAAACTCGAAGTGATCGAACTCGAAGCTGACCTAACCGACTGATTTGCCAGCTCTAAGTATATATATGCTCAAGTTTTTTCAAGTGAAGGATATTGTATTTAATGGGTGGGTGTTTGTTTACTCCTCTTATTTATGATTGAAGTTGTGTGAACACATGAAAGGAAGTTGGTCAATGTCAAGACAACAACAAACCGAGGATGATTCCAAATGTGTTTGGGTATGAGATCAAGATGACCTTACCCCTATGAAAAAGAATTGTTTCTGTTAGATCTTTAATGCATTGATCTACTCCGTATTTACTATCCAAAATTTCACAGAAAGAAGCAATTTGGATTTGGAATTATAAATGACATCATAAATTGTACCATATTCATCTTATAAATTCATTCAGAAAAACACCATCCGCATCTTATGTTGGATCTCGTTTTGTTGCTAACCTCCACAACTCACATTTCCGTCCCGTCGGATAGGGCGTCCGGGGTGAGCGATTTCAGCTTTTGAAACAAGAAAGAATAATGAGTTGAATATTGTAGAAAAGTATGGCTTATTTCTTCTCGCATATATGGAAAATAAGCCAAATATATCATGAGTGATGAGACATTATTGGGAATACGAGGGTTCTGGGTATGATTTCTTCCTTTCCCTCCTATCAATTTAGTGTCATCTCAACCTCCTTTTAAAATCTCTCTTCCTATTAATTTAGCATATTGTTTTCAGGGGAAGGTTCAAGTGACATTGGACCTCAATGTCATGGGATGACCCGAGGGCGCTCAGTTCGTAGAATTGACGGTTCCTACCCCCCCTAGCCCCCCGGAAAACCCCCCACCCGGCCCCGACCCGAACACACCTCCCCACCCCCTTCAATTGCACCCCTAAATACTTAAACTATAAACTTAAATTAAAAAATTTAACTAATATTGAACTTAATTGTTGATAATAAAAAATTAAAAGTGCATAATCAAAATAAAATTAAAATTTCAATGAATTTAAAAAATTTAACTAATATTGAACTTTCATTTATTTGTATGTTTTATTTAGTTATTTACTAAAATAAATTATTCTTGTCACTTCTTGTTTTATAGAATTTTTCACGTAATTTCTTTTAATATATAATTTTTAATTTTTAATTTATGACATCTTTTAAATAAAATAAATTTAAGAGACATGAGATTTTGCCTCGTAACTCTCAATTTATAATCTAAGTTGGGGTATGTTTCAAGAATGGCACATGAACTTTCATAAAAATTTTGATTTGATACCTGAACTTCAAAACCTTTTCTAAAAATACCTAAACTTGTACTATCATTTCACTAAATCATTTCACTAATAATTTATAAAGTCAATGATGGTGATCTTTTGTCACCTTTTTGTCATTATCAAAACCTAAAAGACAATGGGCAAAGAACAATGCAAATAAAATTCATGATAGCACATTGTCCAACAGGTTTCTGTGCCACTACATTACGGTACCACTGCAATCAGTGCTCTGTTCGTAAAATTGATGATTCTTACTCTTCCTATCCCCCGGTGAATCCCCTACCCCGGCTCGACGTGAACCCTTCCTCCACCCCTGTCAATTGGACCCTCCAAGTTTAATTGATTTTGAAGCCAAATGTTTTACTTCAAAATCAGTTAAACTTGGGAGTTCAATTGATGGGGATGGATTAGGTCGGGCTGAGTGGAAATTTAACGAAGGTTAGAGCATACGAACCATCAATTTTATGAACAAGCACTGCAAGTGTCACAAAATCCCAATGAAATTGTAATGGCACCGTAGTGCAACTACAACACAACGGTGTCTATGTTTTTTTACTCATAGTTTATTTATTTTTCTAATAAAATCCGAGACTATTGGTTTACGGATTACTTTGTTTTTTTTCTTTTGGAAATGCTAGTGTAAATGTGTTATCGAGAGTACGAGACACACCGCAAATTATATCCTATATCCGACTGTACGGTTCTTTCCGTACATCTGGAAAAAATTAGCAGCATCACCAGCGATCAGAAGAGGAAGAGACAGAAGCGGGAAGAGACAGCATTTGGAGCCTGACATCTGGCGATTGGAAGAGAAAGAAGGGGAGGCCGATGCAGAACCCTAGGTGCGATGAAGTGAAGCACGGCGACCGAGATGGAGCGATGCGATGAACCCTGGGTGCAAGATTTGTAAATGCTATGAAGATGCGATGAGCTATGGCTTGGATGGTTCGATGGTATGCGATGAAGAAGATGGGCACGGTAGTTAATTAGACTCTTGAATAATATTTTCTAAATTTGAATGAAATGAAGGGTACATTACTTGAGAATAAATGCTACATTATTTGTGAATAAGCACTACTTTATTTAAAAATGAACACTACGTTATTCATAAATGAATATTATAATTGTATTCAACAATTGTGTAAAAATGAGTGCTGATGGGTATATCCTTATACCCGGCCCGAATTTCCGAAAGGGACAGGTCAAAAGTTGACTGGTCACTTTCCATGATTACAGAATGAGAATAACTCTTCGATCGAGACGGGTCAAAAGTTGACCGGTCACTTTTTGGGGAAAAAGTGACCGGTCACATTTTGGGCGATAGCCAAAATGTCACCTAATCTTACGAAGGACATTCTAGAAGACCAGAGAGACGGGTTGGGCTCAAGAGATGACCGGTCGACCTTCAAGGAAAGGTGATTGGTCATATTCTTTTACTTAGCTAATGTTCAGTGAATTTCCCAAGTATGGTAGTCAGCATCAGAGGCCAGGGGACCACCCGCCGTTCATCCATCACGAGGCATAGAGTGAAAGGGATGTTTGTCATCTTGCAGGGCTGATTGGATTGAGAATATCCACCTTATAGTCTTTGATTGAATAGTGTCTTGGCTTGTAGCTACTAAAATCACTGATTGAATAGTGATTACATTATGTACAGTGATCTTCCTCCGGATTTCCTATTTTGTCCATATATAGATGAACAGGGGAAGGTCACAAATCCTCCTCTATAAATATGATGATTATGGATAGAGGAGGGGATCCAAGTTTTATCTCACTAAAAGTACACTCTTGAGACAGAGTAAGAAATATAATTCGGACTAAGGAGATTTACCCAGTCTAGGTCATACTTTGTGTTCTTCTTGTGTGTATTTTACTACGGGTCGAGTGTGTCCAGGTCAAACCCGGTTAACCCACCCTGCTATATTTACACCATCATTTTTGGCGCCCGTCGTGGGGCCCGGTTTGTAAAATTTTTTGACCAGGTTAAAACTTTATCCCCATGAAATATCCACGATCATGTCTTCAAGCAGTCACACCGTTGTTTCACGCCAGGCTGCGAGTGAGAGCACTCCCGCCATCCCGCTGATGATAACAAGCATGGGGTCGACTTTTGCCCCAATTACCTCGATAGGATCGCTAGGGATGATCCCAATCATGTCGACCCCTACTCCGATACCAACAACGACAATGTTTCCCGGCTCGATAACAACGCCTGGGGGAGCATTCACGCCATTTTCGTCAAGCTTGGCTCAATTTGCCGCTGACCCGGCAAATGCTCAGGCTTTACAGGGCTATCAACAAGTGATGGCCATGATGCAACAGGCAGGGGGCTTTATGTCGTTTGCCTATCCTGGCATGATTCCACCCATCATGAGTCATATGCCACCACCGGTGTCGACTCCGTCGACATTCGTCCCTAGGATGGTCCCTGTACGCCCGGTGAATTTGACAGGGGCCATGGACCAAGCAGCGCCCTCAAATGTCCATGAAGCCGATGATGCGGAGCAAGAGGCAGCTCGCAGAAGGAAGGGTAAAGCTATAGCTAAGCCCAGCAAAACCCGGGATTCAACATTCAAACGCCTGGGGGACAAAGAGGATGGACCCCGCAAGTCAGCCAAGCTACGTCTTGATCCTGAGATGGGCCGGACTAGCGCGATGGAAAGAGTTGGCGGGAGTCGTCCCGCCTTATCACATCGTTCTAGGGAATCTGAGACGATTCACCTAGACGAGGAAGAGGCCGAAAGTCAACCCACGGCGTCGGCGTACACCCGAATCTCATATGATGAGGATGACCTGGACAAGATAGGGAGTGTAGCGAGAAAGCTACGCGCCCTAGAGGAAAAAGTAGAAGAAAAGGCGGGAGCGAAGAAACATACCCTGTCGAAATCACCCTTCTCGGCTAGGGTACATGCACACAAGCTGAGGCGGAAGATCAAGTTGGACGTGGAGAAATTCACTGGAAAGGAGGATCCAAACGTCCACCTCGACACTTTCCACGATGCAGCACAAATGGTCGGGTGTACTGATGCTGAAGAGTGTTTACTCTTCTTCTCATCCTTGAGAGGAAGGTTAGTGGAATGGTTTAATAGCCTTCCTCATGGTAGAATCGGGTCCTTCGAGAAACTTGCTGAGATTTTCCACAAGAAGTACCAGGACAATTGCATCAAAAGGAAAAAGTTCACCTATCTTAACACGGTAGGGTAGAGGGAGAAAGAGTCATTGACTCAATTCCTAACCCGATGGAGGGATGAGGTCGATAAGGTAGAAGAGATGGATGATAAAACGGCCATGTCTTTGCTTATGAATACCTTCCGGTCAGGTGACCTCTACACTGAATTTTGTAGAAGGCCACCCTCTTCTTATTAGGAAGCCTACAATACGGCATGGGAGTATGCCGAGGCGGAGGTCCTGAACAAGAGCAAGCGAGAACTAGAAGAAGGTTATACAAAGGTCAAGATCGAGAAGCCAAAGAAGGATGACCATATGGGAGGGTCTAAGCCAAGGACCACATATGACGAGACGGCCCATCGAACAAGGGATGAGAAGAAAGGAGAACAACCCAAGAGGCCTTGGACAGAGAAGTGGTGTACCTACCACCAGTCAGATTCTCACAACACGACAGATTGCCGAAATGTGAGGGTCATGCTCAGGGAGATGACCTTGAAAGGGGAATTGGATGAAGTATTCGTTACGAAGCTTGAGGAAGACCCATAGGCGAGTACTTGAATCCACCCACATGAATAGGATCAGGGAAAGAAGAGAGGGTGGATAAGATGTGGTCAAGATTACTAAGCTTGCTTTAGACGGATCAGTCTTGATGTCTAGGACCTAGACCGTTGCATGGGCTGATAGCAAAAAAAACCCTTGATATAGGGGCCTTGATGTTGAGGTATCGCCTTGAGACAGGCTAGATCCGGAAGAGGATTCACATCCATACTTACATGGATCCCTACCGACTTTTTGGTCGGGAAGGGTTAGAAAAGATGCCAAAAAAATATATTACCGTCTTATATGAGCCATCCTTTGTGGATCGGAATGTCTAGGGAAGACTAGAATTTCCGAACACATAATATATGGACGTGCAGGATTGGATGAGGGCTGGTTCTCACCGGCATACCCCCATGTGGGAAGATTAGGTTGGCTAGGTCAACCTAATAATTAGAGAATGACACATTAAAAGACTTACAATCTAGAAGAGGGGCCCTGGAAGAAGGGTGTTGCCTGGAAGAAGGCTGGACCTTAGAGAGGGTTCGCGATCATAGGACATGGTCAAAATCTCCAAAGATAGATCGGGTCTTGATGTTAAGACTTAAGACGAAAACCGTTTCGAAATATTCGTTCGAAGTTCAATCAAGGTCGGTGTTGAACATGACATGCAAGCTAGATGGATATAAGTAAAAAGGGCATGGTCGAAAAGTGACCGATCACTTTTGTAACGTTTAGGATTGACAAGAAAAGGCGGACGGAAAAATTTTAAAATTGACCGGTCAACTTTGAAAAAAGTGACAGGTCACTTTTTAATAGTCGGATTTGATGAAATCAAACAAGTTTGGAAAAACTTATTTTTGACCGGTCACATTTTGACCCGACACCTGGACAGAAATTTGAGGCAAGATTGGTGACGTAACGTGACCAAACCATTGGGATTGGACCAGGACAAAATTCAACCTAGACGTCTATTACATTTCAACCTGGAAGTAAACCGGATCAGAAGACAAGTCGAGCACAAAATGATCGGACGTTTTCAAGACTTGCACTTGACCAGGACATGAGATGACCCGGACGTTTTCAAGACTTGCACTTGACCAGGACATGAGATGACCCAGACGTTTTCAAGACTTGCACTTGACCAGGACATGAGATGACCCATACGTTTTTAAGACTTGCATTTGACCAGGACATGAAATGACTTGGACGTTTTCAAGACTTGCACTTGACCAGGACATGAAATGACCTGGATGTTTTCAAGACTTGCATTTGACCAGGAGATGAAATGACCTAGACGTTTTCAAGACTTGCATTTGACCAGGACATGAAATGACCTCGACGTTTTCAGGACTTGCACAAAGTGCCCTGGACGTTTTAAGGAGTTTAGAGAAGGACGTTTCCAAAACCTACTAGACCTGGACGTCCTTCAAAAGTTTCAACCAATAAAAGTTTCAACCAAGCCTACTAGACCTGGATGTTTTTAAGACTAGGACATGAGACGACCTAGACATTCTTAAAATAATTCCTAAGAGGGGGACCAAGTAAGAAAACAACCATGCAAGTCTAACCAGTCAACTTCAAAGGGGGACCAAGCAAGAAAATAACCATGCAAGAAACTTAACCATTCAAGAAGTTCAACCAGGCACAAAGGAATGCGACCGGACCATAAAAGCCTCCTTAATTGGTGACCCTTCCATTTGAAGAGGGTCGACCTTCTTTTTCCTAAAACCCTCCCGAGAACTCTTATGTGAACCCTTCCACTCTTGGGATGGGCCGGGAGGAAGAGTGGCCAACCTCTTTGTCAGGGACCTGCACCGGAACCTTGGGCGACTTAACCCAGTTATCATATGAGATTTGCATCATATAACCGGGTACTCTTGGAGGGGTGTGCACCGGGCACTTGACCGGGTACTCTAGGAGGACTAGGAGGACTTACATGGCAGAAGACCAGTTAATTATTTAGAGTTTACATTTGGATTTCCCAATAATTCAAAAGTGACAAGTTAGAGAGAAAGACTAGATGATTTCAAAAGTGACGGGTCTGAGGGGAAGACTTGATGATTTCAAAAGAGACAGGTCCGAGAGGAAGACTTGGTGATTTCAAACGTGACAGGTCCGAGAGGAAGACTTGATGATTACAAAAGTGACAGGTCCGAGAGGAAGGCTTGATGATTTCAAAAGAGACAGGTCCGAGAGGAAGACTTGGTGATTTCAAACGTGATAGGTTCGAGTGGAAGACTTGATGATTACAAAAGTGACAGGTCCGAGAGGAAGGCTTGATAATTTCAAAAGTGACAGGTCCGAGAGGAAGACTTGATGATTACCAAAGTGCTAGATCTGATGATCTCCAAAGTGCCAGGTCTGATGAACTCCAAAGTGCTAGGTCTCATGAACCCCAAAGCGGCAGGTCTGATGAACTCCAAAGTGCCAGGTCTGATGAACCCTAAAGCGCCAGGTCTGATGGACTCCAAAGTGTCAGGTCTGATGAACCCCAAAGCGCCAGGTCTGATGAACTCCAAAGTGCCAGGTCCGATGAACCCCAAAAGCGCCAGGTCTGATGAACTCCAAAGTGCGAGGTCTGATGAACTCCAAAGTGCCAGGTCTGATGAACCCCAAAGCGCCAAGTCTAATGAACTCCAAAGTGATACGTGTGATGATCCGCAAAGTGCCAGGTATGAGGAACCCCAAAGTGCTAGGTTAAAAGAAAGAAATGATACCCAAAACCTCATTTTCGGTCAAGGGAAAGGCTTGATGATTTCAAAGAAGGACAGGTCATGGGAAAGACTTGATGGTTTCAAAGAAGGACAGGTCATGAGAATGACTTGATGATTCCAACGAAGGACATGTCATGGGAAAGACTTGATGATTTCAAAGAAGGACAGGTCATGAGAATGACTTGATGATTTCAAAGAAGGATAGGTCATGGGAAAGACTTGATGATTTCAAAGAAGGACAGGTCATGGGAATGACTTGATGATTTCAAAGAAGGACAAGTCATGGGAATGACTTGATGATTTCAAAAGTGATAGGTCAACATAAATATACTTCCCGCCCTTGATGATTTCCTCACAAGGCCGATAAGTGGAGGACTTCTTGATGGGTATATCCTTATACCCGGCCCGAATTTCCGAAAGGGACAGGTCAAAAGTTGAATGGTCACTTTCCATGATTACAGAATGAGAACAACTCTTCGATCGAGACGGGTCAAAAGTTGATTGGTCACTTTTTAGGGAAAAAGTGACCGGTCACATTTTGGGCGATAGCCAAAATGTCACCTAATGTTACGAAGGACATTCTAGAAGACCAGAGAGACGGGTTGGGCTCAAGAAATGACCGGTCGACCTTCAAGGAAAGGTGATTGGTCATATTCTTCTACTTAGCTAATGTTCAGTGAATTTCCCAAGTATGGTAGTCAGCATCAGAGGCCAGGGGACCACCTGCCGTTCATCCATCACGAGGCATAGAGTGAAAGGGATGTTTGTCATCTTGCAGGGCTGATTGGATTGAGAATATTCACCTTATAGTCTTTGATTGAATAGTGTCTTGGCTTGTAGCTACTAAAATCACTGATTGAATAGTGATTACATTATGTACAGTGATCTTCCTCCGGATTTCCTATTTTGTCCATATATAGATGAACAGGGGAAGGTCCCAAATCCTCCTCTATAAATATGATGATTATGGATAGAGGGGATCCAAGTTTTATCTCACTAAAAGTACACTCTTGAGAAAGAGTAAGAAATATAATTCGGACTGAGCAGATTTACCCAGTCTTGGTCATACTTTGTGTTCTTGTTGTGTGTATTTTACTACGGGTCGAGTGTGTCCAGGTCAAACCGGTTAACCTACCCAATTATATTTACACCATCAAGTGCTACGTTATTTCAAAATGAGTACTACATCATTTCAGAATGGGTACTACGTCATTCCAAAATAAGTACTATGTTAATTTAAATGAAAACTAATGTTTTGTAGGAGAATAAGTACTGTTCAATTGTTTAGAGCAGGCTGTACATGACCTAGACACACATGTGTCCGAGGATAACCCTATTTTTTAGTCTATTGGTTTATCTGGTTCCTGGCAGTGTCAGCGAAAACGCTTTGCCGTCGAAAAATGGAATTTCCTTTCGGGCATCGCCACCCATCCCACCATCACCACGGCCGCGAAGACGATCTCCCACCACCACCTCCACCGGAAGTCAGCTATGTCCACCACACCTCTCATGTAGGCGGTTCTGAACCATACCCACCGCATCTCGGATATCCGCCTCCGCCGGAAGTTGACTTTGTCCAGCACTCTGAACCATATAGCCGGCCTTATCCGCCTCCGCCAGGCGTCCACCACATTGGACCCCATGGCGGTACGTACCATCCACCGCCACCGCCAGTTTTCCACCACCCTGAACCCTACGGCGGTACTTATCCTCCACCGCCAGCAGTCCACCATGTTTCTCACGAGAGCTACGGCCATGAATTTCAGTCCAATTCCTCTGACGTCCCTCACAAGACACCGCATCCGCACCACCGGGAGATCTCCAATCTGCCTACTGTTCGTGTTTTCTGCAGG